TTTCAGAGTCAGTATCCTTGATTGTTATTGGTCTATTTAGGGTCTCAATTTCTTCTTGTTTCAACCTAGGCAGGTTGTGTGATACCTGAAAGTCGTCCATTTCCTTAAGGTTTTCAAGTTTTTTTCCATACGAGTGTACATAGTAGTCTCTAATGATCTTTTGTATTACTTCAGGGTCAGATGTGATGCCATCTTTTGTGTTTCTGATTGTATTTATTTGGGCTTTGTCTCTTTTTTCCTTGATCAGTCTATCTAGGGGAACATCAAACTTGTTTATCCTTTCAAAGAACCAGTTTTTTGTTTCATTGATTTTTTGGTATTATCTGTTTGTCTTCTATGTTCCGGATTTGGGCTTTTATTTTAGTTATCTGGATTCTTCTGCTGAAGTTAGGGTTTTGGTGCTCTTGCTTTTCCAGGCTCCTAAGGTGATTTTTTAGGCTGTTAATTTGTGATCCTTCCATTTTCTTCATGTGCGTTTGTAGAGATATAAATTCCCCTATTACTACAGTTTTCATGGCATCCTAGAGATTTTGATAAGATGTTTCTTCATTTTCATTTGTTTCCAGATATCTTTTAATCTCCGTTTTGATCTCATCATTGACCCAGGAGTTGTTTAGGATCATGATATTTAGTGTCCATGTCTTTGTGGGTTTGGGGGGAATCTTGTTGGTGTTGATGGTTATTTTTATTGCACTGTGGTCCAAGAAGGTGCATGACAAATTTTTGATATTTTGAAATTTGTTTATGCTTGATTTATGGTCAAGTATGTGATCGATCTTAGAGTACATTCCACGTGGTGATGAGTAGAATGTATATTCTGTGGCCATTGAGTGGAGTGTTCTGTAGGTATCAATTAAGTACATTTGGTCAAGAATCACATTGAGGTTCCCGATCTCATTGCTGATTTTTTGTCCTGATGATCTGTCTAGGGTTGTGAGTGGGGTATTAAAGTCCCCAACTATGATAGTGTTAGAGTCAACATCTTTTTTAAGTTTACCTAGAAGTTGCTTTATGAAAGTTGGTGCTCCTTTTTTGGGTGCATATATGCTTAGGATGGATATTTGGTTAATGGAGTGAACCTTTTATCACTATATAGTTGCCTTCTGTATCTTTTAAAATTTTTGATAGGTTAAATGGTATTTTGTCTGAAATTAGGATCGCAACTCCTCATTTCTTAAGTGCTCTGTTCACCTGAAAATTGGTTTCCCATCCTCCTACTTTGAGTCTGTGAGTGTCCTATCTAGTGAGATGGGTCTCTTGAAGTCAATATATTGTTGCCTGGTGATATTTTATCCATTTTGCCGTTCTATGTCTTTTCAGTGGTGCATTTAGTCCATTCACATTCAGGCTAATTATTGAAATGTGAAAATTGATCCCTATCATAAAGTTTTTAGTGAGTTGTTGTTGTTCCTCTTTGTTTTTTGTGTTTCTTTTGGTTTTGGGGTTGGTTTGTGTCTGTTTTACTCTTTTTCCTGTACTTTTGTGAAGAACACTGTTGTTCTTTTTCATTTTCTTCTGTGTTTAGTACTTTTTAAAGTGTTTCCTGTAGAGGTGGTCTGGTGGCAGCATAAGTTCTTAGGGATTGGATGTCTGGGAAACATTTTAATTCTCTCTCACTGATGAAGCTTAGTTTGGTTGGGCAGGTTATTTTGGTTGAAATTATTTTTTAGAACTTTGAAGCTAGGGCTCCAAGCTCTCCTAGTTGGCAGGGATTCTATAGATAAATCTGTTGCTATTCTAATTGGTCTTCCATGGTAGGTTATCTAGCCTTTTTCTCTGTCTTTCTTTAGAATTTTTTCTTTTATAGCTACTTTGTTGAGGTGAATTATTATGTGTCTTGGAGTTGGTCTTTTCATTTGTTGTCTTGCAGGGGTTCTCTGTGTCTCTTGTGTTGAATTATCACATCACTGGTGAGATGAGGGAAGTTTTCTTCAATAATCTCATGAAATGTTTGTTCCAGGGTGGCCTCTGTCTCTCTTTCTTTTTCAGGAAGTCCAATTATTCTTAGTTTTGGTCTCTTGAAGTAATCACTCATCTCTTGAAGGTTTTGTTCTATCTTTTTAAGCTTCTTTTCTATGTTTTTGACAGTTTCGGTTAGTTCTATATTTTGGAGTCAAGCTCTGAGATTCTTTCTTCTGCTTGGCTAATTCTCCTTTCCATGCTTATCAGTTTGTTATTTATTTCAGTCACAGTATTCTTTACCACTGTTATCTCAGTTATCAACTCCTTTCGACTTTCTTCTTGTCTCTCCTCAATTCTTTTTAATCTCTCCATTAATGTCTTGATGACTAGGTTTGTAGTTTGAGACCAGTCATTCTGGGGGCTCTTCATTGTTGGCATTCCAAAGTCAGTTTTCTCAGTGTCTGCCCACTCAGGAGTCTGGGAGAGACCCATGTTCTTCTTTTGGTTTTTCTTCATTTGTGTGGATTTTTATCTCTCCCCCTTTCCCTCCCCTTCTTTAATTCTGTTTTTCAGGGAAGGTGGGGTTGCTTTTACTTCTTTTGTTCAATATCCTGTTCTTTCTCGTGAGGGTCCTCTGGCTTTGTTCACTTTTGAGGCTAGACTGTGGGTTGGGAGGCTGTATTTTTTACAGTTTTGAGGTTTAATTGAGGGGGACGCTGTGATTCAGAATCTATCTGCATATTCCAGTATCCACCAACAAGTGTATGGGCACACTGGAACCTGTTTCCCACTGCCTTACAATCTGTCCATACATCAGGGTTTAGGTTTGCTCCCTGGAACAAAAGTAAGTACAAAAAGGAAAATATGGAAGAAGGGGTGGTCAGGAGGAAGTGAGAGAGAGAGAGAGAAGAGTGAGAGGGAAAACAGACAAACATACCAACTAATGAATGAAAAAGAGACACAAGGCCAGAAAGCAGTGAAAAACAGACATACAAACAAAATTCCCTAAAGCATACCAGTAATCACATAATGACAGTCCAATAAAATCATGCCTTTTGATGTATTTTTCCCCAACAAAAACCGGTAGTCTAAATCAAAAAGCAAACAAAAGTGAGCAAAACAAATAGTCAAAAAAATAAAATCAGAAATCAAAATAAGAAACCAGACTAGCTCTGGAATCTTTCCTGCGTGTCTAAAGTCTCTTCAGTTCTGATCTCTAGCCTCAACCCTTTGCTTTAATTGTAGGCAGATAGATTTACTCCAAGATTGGGTTGGTTCCCTTGCCTTTTTCCCTGATAAGTCTGCGAGAGGCCTGAGTTGCCTGTATCTGATTCAGTGTGTGGGGAGGAGGACTTTTGTCTCCTGTTTAGCAACATTACCTTAGAAACCAAAGTGGAGGCTGCTTGTAGATGGGCAGGGCAATGCAAATCTCTGCCTGGAAAATGGCCAAGGTAGGCAGCTCCTCTTTCAAGAATCCTTTCTCTCCACCCATTCTTTCTCTCCACTTGCCCAGGTTTGTGTGTGATCCACTATGATGGGATGTGGGATCAGCGACACAGCTGGGTGCTTGATCTGGTGTGCTACCAGCAGCCTGAGGTGGAGGAGGGAGCTGGGAATTCCCTCTTCTGGAGCTGACAGCTGAGAGCGGCTGATCAGCACTTCCTTAAGATACGCTGTTCCCCTATACAACCACGAATTCTCATGCTGGGTGCCTCAGTCAGAACAGGGACTAGAGCTCCAAAGGGTTAGTGGTGAGCAGTGACAGCAGCTTTGGGCCCCACACAGGGCACTTCAGCCAGAAATGGAGCTGGTATCTCTGAGGGGCAGCTGCCTAGAGCCTCCCTGGGTGACGGCGGCTTGAAATAGGGCTGGGCGTGGGCCCAGAATCCAGAGCAGGGAGCTGGAACTCTGAGGAGTGAGCACCGGGTTCACTGGATTGGGTGCTCATTCAGGGAGAGAGCTGGTAGTGGCTGAGTGCTGGGAAGATCAGTGTAGCTAGCAAGGGAACCCAGATATCCACAAGGCAGTATCCAAGGGCTGCCAGGTGAGACGTTGTAGCCGGGTAGGGAGCTGGGATCTCCACACGGTTGGGGCCTGGGGCCACATATAGCAGAGCAGTAGCAGCTGAGAGGACTCAATAGCTGACCTTGCGTGGGTCTGAAGGTCTCCAGGCCTCGAACCAATGAGGCTGGCGGTGGGCAGGGGGGTGGGGGAACAAAAGCAAGAGACTTTCGGGGAATTCACTTTCAGAGATTCTCAGCGTCCCACCTATGCCATCACCATCTTACTGGAACCCCCTCTTGAGTTTTTATTTATCCTCAAATCTATCCATCATATGGTGACTCGAGTTCTCCTTCTAGGAGTATATTTATGTATCTTTTACAGTTTAATAATCTCATATATATGTATTAGTTACATCACAATACCTTTCAGGTAAAGTTTGGACCTTCTTTTGGTCCCCAGTTCTCCTGGTATGAGATGTCACCCCACATCTTTAAAATAAAAAAAAATTAAAAATAAAAACAAAATATCTGAGGTACTTGTTAAAATGCAGATTTAAGGGTCCTACACTCAGAAGCTGAGAAAACACAATTTTACTGAAATTCTGTTATATTAACATTTTAAAAATCACAACAGTTGTAGCAGAAAACCAGAGAACAAAATAAAATTGCTAAACATTAATTATTCATTATTTATAAATACTGAATTGCACTTTTAGAAAGTAAGCTAAATTACTGCATACTGATTGATATATTTCATATCAGTTATGATTCAATTGTATGATCAAATTAACTCGGCTAATTAGATGAAAAAATATTTATGAATTACCTTTAAATACCTTTTAAAACTGAAAAAATAACTGTTCACAGATTATATGATGTACTGATTACTATATTTTATTTAAGATTACCTTTGTAGTATATTTATATGTGTTTGTGTGTGTGTGTGTGTATCAAAATATATCTGTTAAGCCAATGTAATCTTATCAAGGTTTAGTTTCATCAGCTTTACAAAAATCATGACAATTTTCTCAATGGCATTCCTACTAACCACACAAGAGGAAGCTCACTTGTTGCTTTAAATGAAAAATTACTTACTGCTCTTTTTCTAGAACACCCTGTAATCCAAGGCACAGTAAGGTTTCCTGAAATCTGTAAAACAACAAATGGAATCTCAGTAAGGTATGCAATGACACTACATGGAATGTTGATAAACACCAAATAATACACAATGTCAAGAGAAGTCTACATTCAGAGCATAATGCCCACATATAAAAGGTTGTTTCTTTATTAAGTTCAAGTTTTGAAGGAACTTTGTTTATGGAAAAATTTTAGAAGCGGTGCAAATTTCCCATGGAAATTCAAGATAATTGTTGGAGTACTAAGAATCTTGGGGAGTTGAAAATGTATAAACAATACAAGTATTATACTATTTTAACTAAAAAATACAATGCTTTGCAATGTATGTGAAAAATCTACAAGAACTATAGAATTCAGTAGTTGCTCTTTATTTGCAAGGAATATATTTTAAGACCTCCAGTGGATGCCTGAACCTGTAAATATTAGTGAACTCTATATATACTATATTTATTCTTATATATACCTATGATAAATTTGAATTTGAAATAAAATAAAACAATTGTTAACAACATATTGTAGTAAAAGTTGTAATTAAAAATGTGGTCTCTTTCTTTAAATATTTTATTGTACTGTACTGTAGGTAACTGAAACCATGAAAGCAAAATCATAAATAAGGGGTGGTATTACTATAGTCTCTTTTTAAATAGGGCATTACCACAAGTTAAGAGATGATTTTGTAATGACAGATGCATGCTATAAACTAATTAAACACATTACTTGTATTCATCATGCAAAATCATCACTGACTAATCAAAATATTACTCTATGTACTTTCATAATACAAATCTTAGGCCTACTGAGCAATTAACTGAAACATTGTTTCTCCTAACTGTGGTCTCATTAGAAGTCTATTAATTATGCCCTTCACCCTTTCTTACAAAATGATGAATTGTATATTTTAATAAGTTCATTGATTTAGAGATTATTTTGCATTAATAATGTGTAATTGCCAAAAGAAGAACATGTGAACTGTTAAGTATGAGTATCTATACATCAAACCTCTCCAGATAAAAATATGTGTCCAATAAAATCAGCTCTTTCTGAGTTACATTCCAGAGCTTAGTGTTGGTAGTGAAGTTTAACCATGCTGCAACACTGAGCAGATATTTCTTGCAAATTGTACAGGAACTTCATACTTGAGCAAATACTTTCTAATGGTTTCTCAGAAATGTCGCATAATTTTAATGTTTACAAATGGAGCAGGGTATTATTTAGGTAAGGTTATATTTATTTTCAACGTTCTTACATCTACCTATGCACTCACACCCAAAATTAAAATAACTCTTCGACAAATCCTATTCAACAGTATGGTAGTACTTTTAAAGTAGAAACTACTATGCCAAGTGACCAGCAACACCTTATTACCTCAGCATACCCGCACAGGGAGATAGGTGCTACTTTGGTGGGATATCTTCTAATGAGTGTATACAATGACCTAGATGGTTCTGTGAGTTCTGTGGCTCAGGTTAGCCTGGACTTAACCATACATTTTCATGGTACACACAAGGATTGGGGAGTATCCCAAACTTACTGGTTTTCTCCTTTACTCCAAAACACATATCCCCTGAGAGACAGACAAGTCAAATCATCCTTGTTTATAGTGATGGTGGGAACATGATATTCAAGCAAACATTTAATGTTTTTGATAAATTGTATGCAGCCCTGGCCTGTATAGTATTGTATCTCCTGACAAGGAGTGATGATCAAACAGGCAACATAAATAGTATATTAATATTCTCAATTACTCAAGATTCAGGTAAACTATTATTGTTACTGGCCATCAGATTTGCCATTTTTCTTTGAGTTCCAAACATAATATAGAAGTGATAGGCTAAAAATGATATAAACTCAAACAATACTTTTTTTTTTGAGTTGGAGTCTCACTCTGTCACCCAGACTGGAGTGCAGTGGCTGCTCCTGGCCACCGCAGCCTCGACCTGCTGGGCTCCGGCGATCCTTCTGCCTCAGCCTTCCGAGTAGCCGGAATTACATGCATGCGCTACCATGCTCGGCTGATTTTTTGATTTATTGTAGAGATGAGGTCTCACTGCCTAGGTGGGTCTTGAACCCGCAAGCTCAGGCAATTCACTCACCTCAGCCTCCCAAAGGTATGGGATTACAGGCTGAGCCACCGAGCCTGGCTTCAAACAATACTTTTAAGGATAAATAAAATACTTCAACTCAAAGTAAAATATTACCGTAAAATGGTAATTAACTGGATGGCTGGGATGTCCTGAGAAGGTGTAAATATTGAGTACCCCACATCTTTATAATAAAATAAAGAAAAAAATGAATTGAGGGTAACAAAAAAATTTATTCTAAATAAATCTTCAAAATATATACCTTTTTTCATCCTACCAGTATATTTAGGGGTTTGCAAAGTAAATTCATTATTAACTTCAAAAAGAAAGGTAAATCTCCTAAATTAATCATTTAATATACTCTAAAAACAAATAGAGATAATCCAATTCATTTTGACTTTTCTGTGAATATACTGCAGTTGATTAGTGAGAATTATTCTAAACTGTCCATGTAGAACTTACAAAGAAACATGTTAAACCAAATGAATTATAAACAAAACAAAATCCCAAACCACTAAATACTGAAGAGTTACATATGAAATAATAAAGACAATACTAAAACATGGTAAGATAATTTGCATAAATATTGACATTATACATTTTAAAAATATAAACTGTTTCCTACTTAAGTAAATTTTATGTAACAAAGAAAAAAACTCCCATAAACACATTTTTATATAAATATTATAGATTCCATAGATTTGGAAAGAGAAGAAGTTTCACTGTTTTTGTTTTGTAATTCTGTGGCAGCAGTTACGTGATACCCAAATGCTGTGTTCAACTTACCTCTACTGTTTACTTCAAATCTCTTTTTCAGTTACTGCCTTTCTAGTAAAACTCAGGAACAGCCAGGCAGAGTAGCTAAATTTGTAGGTTTTTTTTGAATAAACATGTTATTCCAAATTTTGAAAGGTTTGTTTGTTGCAATACTGATGATAGTTTTCTCACTCACCATTAGATATAACATACAGTACTAAAATTAAAAGGCAATATACGTCTTGTTTAAGTTATATTTCTATTACAAACATACTTTAAACAGCGTGGTTTGGAAAACAAAAAATGGATCTAGAAAAAACTAGACTAATTTAACAAATATATTAGAATTTGCACATCCAAATGAGTGCTGTATGTTTCAAAGTAGAAAACTTGGGATGTTACAAATTCATTAAATTTACATTGACATTGTTAAAAGCGTTTAGAAAACTTGTTTTGGTATTGTGAGTTCATATTTCACCCAGATATTCTGTCTCTTTACTTTACACTCCTTTATTTTAACTGAAAACATAACAGCCCAGATTGAACATCCATATTATTTACTATACATTGTTCAGAATGAATTCCATCTTTCAAAATGAAATTTTCTCTCAAATAATGGTAATTTGTCACCTTTGAAAACACCTAAAAGAGTCCCACAGGCTCTTCAAACAACTGTAAAAAACTTCAAAAAATTTTTGTCAATTTGAACATTATTGAGATAAATATATACAACTTTCCAGCATAAATAATTTGAATTCTGTTTAAATATTTATTAGGTATCTCTTTTACACAAGGCATCATTTTTGGTGATACAGAAGCATAATTTCCTGGTGAGCAAAATTTATTATTTGAGAGAATGAGATAAGACAGGCACATGAATGAATTTAATACAAAGAAAACTATGATAAGTGTCACAGGGGAGGTACAATAAATGAAGTGCAACAGGAGTTTAAAATATGGCTACATTACATACACTTGAGGATTGATATCTCAGCTGAACCTTAAAGGATGGGTAGAATTTTGATAAACAGAAATAAAAAAAGAGAGCATTCCTTGGGAAAATAATGGCATGAACACAGTAGAATAAAAGTATAAGATGTGTTTGGGGAATAGTTAGTTTAACTAAAACTAGAAAGCGAGACTAGGTCACTTTTTGGAAACCATGAATGCCAATGGGTCATTAATACCTCATTCTGTAGAAAATGGGTAATATTTTAGTATAGGCATGGTAAGGCTTTCAAGCAAATGTATGATATGGCCAGAACTCTATTTTTATACATTAGGAAGCTTAGTTTGCCTATGTGTGTATAATGATTTAATGAAGTAAATAAAGATAACTTTATAATAGTTTAAGCAAGAAATAATCCAAGCTTGGAACCAGGGAAGGGGAAGTAGGAATTGAAAATAAAAATATAAGATATTTCTCAAGATAGATCTTGGGCATGAGGTAGAATAGAACAAGACAGTTTAGAGATAGTGGAAATAATCTTTTTATGGCCATCGTAAAACTGCCTCTTAAATTACCTGGTCTGCTCAAGCTAATGGAGAGAGACAACTTTCAATGTAACTACAAGGCATCTCCATGGCTCACAGACCAGTGGGGCTCCCCAGCTTCCACAGTGAGCCTCTGGTGGTGCAGCCAGTGGCTCAGTTGTCTTACCCTTACCAGAATACTACAGCAGTGGCTTAGACCTTGTCTGAAGGCCCAGTTTCAAAAGGTCACTATGGGCCTTCCCAGTTGCCATCACTGATGCCTCTGAATCTGGGGATCAAAGGTCAGGGAAAGAACAGAGAGATGGGGGAATATGTGCAACCTCAAGATGAACAATGCAGACTCCTGCCCCCGAGGCTCCATGCCAGGCAAAGCTTCTCTGCTTCTCACAGGTACCTCAGGGCCATGCATCTTTCTTGCCCCTGCCTGAACAGTACATCAATGGCTCAGCACTCCTATAAGGAAATGACTACAAGAGGTCACTGTTAGGCCCCTCCCAGTAACCACCACTGCTGCTTCCAACCCTGCCACCTGTGGGTCAGGGAGAGAATGGGGAGATGGGTAAATAAATGAAGCCAACTGTACATACACAACATATACCCAAGCCATACCTACATGGAAAAAAAGAAAAAAAAAAAGACAATTTCAAAAAGCCTCATCTCAATGATAGAAACATTCAAAAC